TGCTAATATGTTTCTGAGTGCAGCGTTAAATAAGAAACAAACAAATCACTCTAACTACGACGTCTACGACTACTGGTTGCTTCACGTCATTTGGAATAGAGGTCAGTTTGGCAAACACATCTTGATGCATGAAGAACTGAATTTCACCACCACCGAGTCGATTAAAGAAACAATACACAAATCTGAAAGTCCCATGGCCGAAAGCTTTGAACACACACTGTCATTTAGAAAGTGGTCAAATGTAACAAATGTTATGTTTGGCTGAGTGGCTTAGATTGCTGACTTTGTGAGCTGACGATAAGGTGCCTCACACTGGCAGATCGGGTTCGAATCCCGAACGGGACTCAACCCAAAATAAGAACGAGAATCTGTACTTTACTCAGAAAGTGTTATCCCAAAAATAACATTTGTTATATTTGACCACTTTCTAAATGGCAGTGTGTGTGTTCATAGCTATCGGCCACGGGATCCGTGCCAATTTACACATGTCAGAGGGGTACACAAAGTACGTGATCTAGACTACCAGTTGTCGGACTTTCATTTTTGTGGAAGCCGCGGTGGCTGAGTGGGTTGGATCGCTGACTTTGTGTGCCGCCGATTAGGTGCCTCACTCTGGCAGTGTGGGTTCGAATTCCGGACGGGACTCAACCCAAAATAAGTTCGAGAATCTGTACTTTACTCAGAAAATGTTATCCCAAATATAACATTTGTTACATTTGACCACTTTCTAAATGGCAGTGTGTTTTCTCAAAGGAACATTACCTATCAACTCTTTCCCTTGATGCTACATACAAAACTTTGCTAATTACTTTATAAGTATATTAAGCAAATGTCTATTGCAAAACACTAGCATCTCCTGACATTTCACAAAGGTAATTCTTTCCAAGGCCAAATGCAGTACTGACTCTCATTAAGGTAGCGATTATGACTTCTAGTCTGATGTGATTGTGAAATTCGAAACAACTGATGACATATCTAAATACCATATGTAACGTACCTTTTAAAGTAGCTTCTTAATTGTAGCTTGACCTTAGAGTCAGGAAATTAAGACCTAAAAATTAACGGTTTACATCTCGTATCATCAGTAAAGCTTCTTTTTTTCTAAGTTTCAAAAGCTGCCGAATACAAGTTCTAGGCTTTTTCCGATATTTTTCTTTTGGTGTCGTTATGTCAGGAATACGTGGAAATAAATCGTCAAGGGACGAGAGTAATGGGCAAACTAGTGATGACGGCAGGAGTTTGCGAAAAGGGTAAGCATTCCTGCCCTGCCGGTAGCACCCGCCATTCACACAATTGTCATAACAACTAAGTATTTACAGCCTGACACTCACAGCAGTACTTCTGCAATGCGACGGCGGCCAATCATTAAACCCGACGAACAAGTGATCGATGGACCAGAAAATCCAATGACACGATAGTGCATTTACTAATCAAACGATATATCAATTTTGAATTACGTTTGCTGTGTACAAGTGCAGAGATTCTGATGTTTATAAGTAATGCAAACACGTTTAAGAAACATATTTAGCAAAAGCTGTACCTTACTTATAGCACAGCCAGGTTTACAACGTTGAAGGGAAAAGCGTTCACAGGTTGGAACCTGAAAATAGTTTCTTCTTTACCTAAATAAAAGCGACAAAATCCTTTCCATATTCAATAGAAATCTCTGCCAAAAGCAGAGTCGATGGTACGATTCCGACTAAATCATGTGTATGTGATAATGAATCACTATCAAATAGTGATGATATTCGCGAAAAAGGGGAGCGTATCCTGTCCCACCGGTGGCATCCGCCACAAACACATGCAAAGGCAAGTCAGTTGTTCACCTGAAAGAAACCACTGGAACAGTTGGTACATGTTAAAATAGGGAATAGAATTGGACATCATTTTTGTCACTGAAGCGTCAAATTTGGAAAAGTTCTCTTTTTTAAGCTTTACTGAGGCCTTGAATGTGTTAACCTTGATCAAACGACTTCTGATCAAGAGTCGTATGACGCATAAGGCATTATTGCAGATGAGTGAGTGGGTTGGGTTTAGCGCTGCTTGGAACAGTTTTTCAGCACGGCGTGTTATCGTGTTGGAGGAGGAAGGACAGAAGTGAGGCAGGTCTTAGATATTTACCACTTTGTTGAAACCCATGAGCACGGGTATGGTGCTGACAAACCTGGAAAAATGTAACTCTTCATCACAAATTCCAGCGCTTGAGACGACTGCCCACCGACCGCACTGCATATGATGATGCTTAGTGCTGGAATCATGCCATCGTCTTCACTACGGGACCAATGGTGTCTCTCAGTTCTGAGACAAACAGCTGCGTACCAAGGTCGTGTTGGATCATCTTGTAACGGGTTCGAATCCCAAATTCTCCCGAATGTGACTCTCCGTTTGTCAGCATCATATCGCTCCTGTATGACGTCACAAAAGGTGATGTTGGAACTTTTGGAACCATGTCGCTTTCGACTTTCCTCCCACTTCTGTTGTCATTAGGGCCGGTGGAGTTGGCTCGTCACGCCGAAAACCCGGGTTCGATTCCCGACATGGGTACAATGTGTGAAGCCCATTTCTAGTGTCCCCCGCCGTGATATTGCTGGAATATTGCTAAAAGCGACATAAAACCATACTCACTCACCAACTGACTCTAAACAATGATACTGTTTAAAGACTTCTTATGCGATCTGCTATTCAGAAACACATGCCTGTGATATTGTCGGAATTGTGCAATGGACTAGGCTCCCAGCACATTTTTCTAATAATTATGGAAAGGGTTTTGTCGCTTTTTAATACCCCGTTCACTCACTCACTCACTCACTCACTCACTCACTCACTCTTTGCTGCCACCTAACACACCCCTGATACATTCTTGTGATGCAGTCGGGATCATACAATCGATTCTGAAGGTTATTCGGTGTGAGGCGGAATATTCTAGGACGGAACTAGTCAACCTGCCCTATTTGTGCATTCGAGAAATATCGAATTACTAAAATGAGACCTAGCTATTCAATTTCTACATCCAAATTGCCCATTAATTGTCCACCGTATGCGTATCGATATCGAACAAGATGACACCCGCAGTGTGAGTGGAGAACGACTGCACTAGACAAGTCGCGATAATGGGAAGCGTGGTAGTATCTCCATGAGACTCCAGGATCCCCGTTTCCCCCATCGAGTAAATATTGAGTCATCGACTGGAATCACTTATATCTCACTCCCTTGTTTGGGTTGGGGACAAGCCAGTAAACCTCCCAACTATCTGATAGCCATGATTAACCGATAAGTTCAACAAGTCGCCAGCATGAGTCCTGTCTGTGACAGATACACCGGCTGTTCAAATATGTCCTACTTACGTGTGGGTGGAGTCTTCCCTGGACGCAGTACTGTCTGACTGCAACGTCTGTAGGAGGGGGAAGTGGATTTAACGTCGAACAGTACTTCACTTACATCACAATCGGCTTTAGGTGAGATGAAGGTCTAAATTTACAAAGGCCTTGACGTAAACGACTTTGGTGGACCCCAAGGGTACAGGTATAGATAGCGTTGGAGGACAAGGGCCACAGATGACACGGAGCCACGGAGCCTGGCGCGGATCTGCAATTGTATAAATGTCATGTTTCGAGAGTAAATTCCCAGGTGCCCTACTGGTGTTAAAGTTTGTTCTACATCGCATTACTTTCTCGTTGAAAGAAATTGGTGTTTTTGTTATAGTCGCATTTCGTGTAAATAGGAAGGCACTTGACGTTGTTTAATAGCCGTGTACAGAGTCAGTGAGTGAGTGAGTAGGGTTTAAAGCCGCTTTTAACAGTATTCCAGTTATATCGCGGCGTGTCAACTTAATGTGGGAGGAAAGCCCGAAGTGATGCAGGTCTTAGACGTTTACCACTTTGGTGAAACCCACAAGCACGGGTATGGTGCTGACAAACCTCGCAACATAATCGGGCGAACCGGGATTCCAACCCACTATCATAGGTTTCTGGCGTGCCCAAGGGACGCAACTCTGCACAGCGAATCGCGGCGCCTTAGACGACTGGGCCACCCGTGCTCCCCCCGTGTACAGAGCATCACTCGCGTATAACTAATTCATACTTGCTAGCAAGTATTGGGCTTCATTCGGACGTGAAACGCCTGTGTTACTCTATAACCATACAGGTGAGGTGAAATTGGGTTTAACGTCGCGTCCAAGATTATTGCAGTCCGGACTGATGACGATTTGTAGTGCTAGCTGACTGAGAAAAAACATGCAGTTTAATATGAATACCCCACTAAGACACAGTATACAGACTCCGAGCCGACCAGTCCTTGAATTAGCCCCTTCCTACCGAGCGCCAGACAGGGTAACAACAAGTACCATCTTTTAGCGGCCTGGGATCGAACCCCGGACCTTACTCTCTCCGGGCGGACGCTCTACCACTAGACCACGGAGGCGGTCCTATAACCATACAGTCAACACTGTCCTCTTGTGGACATGGGGCGGTGGGGTAGCCTAGTGGTTAAAGTGTTTGCTCGTCACGCCGAAGATCCGGGTTCGATTCCCACATGGGTACAATGTGTGAAAGCGATTTCTGTTTTCCCTGCCCTGATATTACTGGAATATATCTAAAAGCGACGTAAAACAATACTCACTCACTCACTCTTGCGACAGTTCTTTTTCTACAATATCGAGGAATAACGGATTTATATATACAAGGATATTATTGATGGAACACATGTGAAATTTATTTTGGTAAAAATATCATAATGCGTCGGCGATCCACGTAACGGAGGACAGTGTCAAATGCTGCAACACACGTTAGACGTCGATCTGGCAGAGAAGTGAACTATTCAGTTCGAAGTACGAGTTCTATGTACAAGCTGAGGGCGTCCACGTCTAATGCCCTTGAATCCTCACCGACATGTCATCAAGGTATCCGTCTTATGTACCTGAATCCCTACCGCCATGTAATAAGGATTCGTGTCTTATTCTGCTGAATCCGTACCACATATGTCATAAAGGTATCCGTCTGACCATGCTGAATCCGTACCACATATGTCATAAAGGTATCCGTCTGACCATGCTGAATCCGTACCACATATGTCATAAAGGTATCCGTCTGACCATGCTGAATCCGTATCACATATGTCATAAAGGTATCCGTCTGACCATGCTGAATCCGTACCACATATGTCATAAAGGTATCCGTCTGACCATGCTGAATCCGTACCACATATGTCATAAAAGTATCCGTCTGACCATGCTGAATCCGTACCACATATTTCATAAAGGTATCCGTCTGACCATGCTGAATCCGTACCACATATGTCATAAAGGTATCCGTCTGACCATGCTGAATCCGTACCACATATGTCATAAAGGTATCCGTCTGACCATGCTGAATCCGTACCACATATGTCATAAAGGTATCCGTCTGACCATGCTGAATCCGTACCACATATGTCATAAAGGTATCCGTCTGACCATGCTGAATCCGTACCACATATTTCATAAAGGTATCCGTCTGACCATGCTGAATCCGTACCACATATTTCATAAAGGTATCCGTCTGACCATGCTGAATCCGTACCACATATGTCATAAAGGTATCCGTCTGACCATGCTGAATCCGTACCACATATGTCATAAAGGTATCCATCTGACCATGCTGAATCCGTACCACATATTTCATAAAGGTATCCGTCTGACCATGCTGAATCCGTATCACATATGTCATAAAGGTATCCGTCTGACCATGCTGAATCCGTACCACATATGTCATAAAGGTATCCGTCTGACCATGCTGAATCCGTACCACATATGTCATAAAGGTATCCGTCTGACCATGCTGAATCCGTACCACATATTTCATAAAGGTATCCGTCTGACCATGCTGAATCCGTATCACATATGTCATAAAGGTATCCGTCTGACCATGCTGAATCCGTACCACATATGTCATAAAGGTATCCGTCTGACCATGCTGAATCCGTACCACATATGTCATAAAGGTATCCGTCTGACCATGCTGAATCCGTACCACATATGTCATAAAGGTATCCGTCTGACCATGCTGAATCCGTACCACATATGTCATAAAGGTATCCGTCTGACCATGCTGAATCCGTACCACATATGTCATAAAGGTATCCGTCTGACCATGCTGAATCCGTACCGCCAAATCTATTTTGGAGGGTTTACATATATTCTTCAAAATAGCAGGTTCAATATTTCGCTTGCGGAAAGTTGAGTGTAAGAGGGTTGTCTACCCTATACAATCCATTTTCCAGGGTGTTGACAGTTCAAATCAATAGATAACAGCTCTTATCGACATATTTGGTCTCAGATAATTATTGTATAATTGTCGTTGGTGAAACGATTTGATTTGAGAACGATGATGACACCATACAGATGGTTGATTGGTGTTAAGGGGTATGCTTTCACAAACCTTTTCACATCAAGCTCAAGGGGATCTCTCTCTCTCTCTCTCTCTCTCTCTCTCTTCTCTCTCTCTATCTCTCTCTCTCTCTCTCTGTGCGTGTGTGCGTGTGCGTGTGTGTGTGCGGTGTGTGTGTGTTTGCTCGCTACACCACAGTTACGAGTTCGACTCCCAACACTGCTACGTTTATACAGCTCTGTTGTGGTATCCCCTGACGTGGACTGCTGCGCTGTTGGTTGCAACGGCGTGAAACTCACTCAATAACTCCCAGAACCCTCCTGAAAACAAACGCATCCCAATAACAGCGTAGGGTATATTTCTACCATTCGCCTCTTTAAGAATTGTGGTTTGTTTTTTTTTTCTAGGACCACACCGAAACAGTTTCACTCTACAAACAAAAATATTCTATATCAGTCGCTACAAATCATCGAATGAAAATCACAAGCCATCTCTTGACGTTATGTCTCCTATCAACGCCAATTTCCCGGAGAAGTGCGACCCTCACTATGTGGAGCGTGTAACTAGGAGGGGTATTTTCTAGGTGAGCGGCCATAGCACCACGTAATGAGAACTCTCAACCCCAGGTCGGGAAACTGCTGGTGTACTAGCTTCAGGAGCAAGTGTGACTGGACCGCCAATTACTGGACTGTTTGTCGCATCAAGTCACATACATGGCTGGACTTGGGGAAATCAGCTGGCAGTACATGGTCGTCCAATAACATACTGACGCTAGGCTGTTCTTGTTCTGCTTCGAGGCAGGAGTTAAAGGCGCCCCATCTTCTTGATACTACTCTCAGACATATAGATAGTTATACTGCGAAGTCTACACACTTTGATGTGATTAATTGTGCTTACTGTCGCCTCAGGCTTGTTGTTGTAATGTCTCTGGCATTATTTCTTCATCATGAAACCATCACATATAAAGTATATTTACATGTGTCTGTATTTATCAAACAATTTCTCTAATCGTTTTCTTTGATCACAAAGCCATCACGGAAGACATAAAGACAGTAAACGCCCACATACTTCTGTTATTTACAAGCTGATTGCCATGCCTACAGTAGCATACGCTTTTCATGAGAGACAGAGAGTGAATACTTGTTACACCGCAGTCCAACCACGGAGATCTGTACATAAGAGAGAATGGGTTAGTGTGGTTGGACAGAACCGGCAGCTTCTGGCTTGTAACAAACTGACCCCCAGATTCAGCTCTTACGAGTGAATGAGTGAGTTGGGTTTAACGCCGCTTTTAACAGTATTCCCGTTATATCGCGGCGTGGCAAATTAATGTGGGAGGAAGCCCGAAGGGATGCAGGAATCGGACTTTTACCACTTCGGTGAAACCCACGATCACGGGTATGGTGCTGACAAACCTAGAAACATAATCAGGGCGAACCGGGATTCGAACCAACAATCATAGGTTTCTGGCGTGCCCAAGGGACGCAACTCCGCACAGAGAATCGCGACGCCTTAACCGACTGGGCCACCCGTGCCCTCTCAGTTCTTACGACATCCACGGCATACTGGGAAGCTGTCTGACCCGGAATCCCAGAATGTCTTTGTCCCTCTACAGTGAGATGTCTAGGGTGGCAGTCTGTGTCGTCGGATTTGGCCTTGATCTTCGGTACCAACAAGGCACGACACAGAGTGATATCAACGAGACACACACCCACAGAGTGATATCAACGAGACAAGACACTCACAGAGTGATATCAATGTGAGACACACTCACAGAGTGATATCAATGAGACAAGACACTCACAGAGTGTAATCAACGAAACAAGACACTCACAGAGTGATATCAACGAGACAAGACACTCACAGAGTGAAATCAATGGGACACACACTTACAGAGTGATATCAACGAGACAAGACACTCACAGAGTGAAATCAACGAGACAAGACACTCACAGAGTGATATCAACGAGACAAGACACTCACAGAGTGATATCAATGAGACAAGACACTCACAGAGTGAAATCAACGAAACAAGACACTCACCGAGTGATATCAACGAGACACACTCACAGAGTGATATCAATGAGACACACTCACAGAGTGAAATCAACGAGACAAGACACTCACAGAGTGATATCAACGAAACACACTCACAGAGTGACATCAACGAGACAAGACACTCACAGAGTGATATCAATGAGACAAGACACTCACAGAGTGATATCAATGAGACACACTCACAGAGTGAAATCAACGAGACAAGACACTCACAGAGTGATATCAACGAAACACACTCACAGAGTGATATCAATGAGACAAGACACTTACAGAGTGAAATCAACGAGACAAGACACTCACAGAGTGATATCAACGAAACACACTCACAGAGTGATATCAATGAGACAAGACACTTACAGAGTGAAATCAACGAGACAAGACACTCACAGAGTGATATCAATGAGACACACTCACAGAGTGAAATCAACGAGACAAGACACTCACAGAGTGATATCAATGAGACACACTCACAGAGTGAAATAAACGAGACAAGACACTTACAGAGTGAAATCAACGAGACAAGACACTCACAGAGTGATATCAATGAGACACACTCACAGAGTGAAATCAACGAGACAAGACACTCACAAAATGATATCAATGAGACACACTCACAGAGTGAAATCAACGAGACAAGACACTCACAGAGTGATATCAATGAGACACACTCACAGAGTGAAATCAACGAGACAAGACACTTACAGAGTGAAATCAACGAGACAAGACACTCACAGAGTGATATCAACGAAACACACTCACAGAGTGATATCAATGAGACAAGACACTTACAGAGTGAAATCAATGAGACACACACTCACAGAGTGATATCAACGAGACACACACCCACAGTGATATCAACGAGGCACACACTCACAGAGTGATATCAACAAGGCACACACTCACAGAGTGATATCAACAAGGCACATACTCATATAGTGATATCAACGAGACACTCACTCATAGAGTGATATCAACAAGGTACACACCCACAGAGAGATATCAACAAGGCACATACTCATAGAGTGATATCAACGAGACACTCACTCATAGGGTGATACGAAACTGTCACGACATCTCTTTTCAACATATAAGGATTTCCAGTTCCTTTCTTGAGTGAGCGAGTGATCGCGTAAGTGAGGGATGGTGAGACGAAGAAGGGAGGATGAGAGGGTGAGTGATGGGAGGAAGTGATTTTTTCGCTACAGTCAACAAATATAACTGCGTTGAAACTGTCCCCATCGGTCGATACCAGGCCAAATTTACGATCACGTATTTCACGCTGGCCGCTGATAATTGAGCTACATCTGTAGTGGCAGGAACAGCACTCCATACTTTGATGGTCAGATGGCGCACACTCTTCCACAACATAGTGTCATCCTATTCCATGGTGTAAGACGGATCTGCTCAGGAATCATCGGGTGTGGACTAATATGACCAAAGTCTACACTGCATGCATGTAATGCTAACACCACGTTACCATTTACACACACGTGTACACACGGTGTTGTGTCGCACTTGTTATCTATTATGTTGTTTGTGAGTGCAATACTTGTCGCAGGTCCAAAGACGGTGATATTGTGAGCTCTATTTGTACAAACTGTTCATCCGGAGAGGTAGATGATGAATACCATGTCTTACTTATATGTGAAACGTATTCCCATTTAAGGTATAAATTTCTCCCAATGTTGCAAGGTATTTTTAAAGACCGGCGGTTAATGATAAATCTGCTAAACTCTGAAAATCTTGATATGATCCATGTTGTTTCTGTTAATATCCAATCTGCATTGTACTATGGGCCTTGATGCCTTAATTACTAAATAAACTGTCTGTCTGTCTGTCTGTCTGTCTGTCTGCGATACTTGCTTCACACTCTCCGGTTACTAGTTGAAGTGAAATATATTTGGTTTATTTGCTGCACTCAATAACATTCCAGCTATATGACGGCGGTTTGTAAATAATCGAGTCTGGAACGGACAATCCAGTGACTGACATCATGAGCATCGATCCACGCAATTGGGATACGATGACATGCATCAAGCCATGTCAGCAAGACTGACCACCCGACTCCGTTTGTCGCCTCTTAATTGAGCCTTGGATCTAAACACACACAGAGTTATCCAGTAATCCAAGCTACACTATCCAAGGCATACATTTACACTCCCGCTAGAGTGTGACAAGAGTATTTAAGTTAAATGACAGGTTGCTTTATATACATCTAATAAATATGTATTTGACAGCTTTGAGTTTGAGGCAATTTCAACGCGACACAGCTCTAAGACGTCTCACATTCTGAAATTTGTAACTCTGCAGAGAGAGCTTCCTCTTGTACTACTAGGCTACGGCTCCCCCATCAAGCCGCATGTGTTTGTTTGTTTGTTTGTTGTTTAACGCAGTAATATTCCAGCTGTATGACGACGGTCTGTAAATAATCGAATCTGGACCAGACAATCTAGTCGATCTTCGCAATCGGGATACGATGCCACAAATCAACCAAGTAAACAAATCTGACCACCCGATCCCGTGAGTCGCCTCTTACGACAAGCATGGGTTGTTCAAAGTGCATGTGTCCGCACGCCTCCATCGAATAACAGTAATTGTGCTCGGTGTATTTAATATTGTATGAAAGGGACGAGTTAAGATAAATTGTTTAGACCGCTAATAACCCGAATCCCTTTGATCAGAGTAGCTTATTTGTTTGTTTTTATGACAGCAATTTCCCCTGCACTGGTTATCCTGCGTGATTATACATACGGTACGCTGAATCCAGCCATTATGGAATTAGAAATGCGTTTAAA